TATGCGTAGAAAGAAAAATCCACATAAAATTTTTCTAATCGCTTTTCTGCCAATAAAAGTATCGCCATTCGATGCAGAGTCAAATTCTGCGTTCGACCATCTCATTCTGATGGACGAGAATTCATTTGAGCAGATGGTTTTCTATAACTCTTTTTTGTTTCGCGATGCTAGCTTAGTGGTGCCAGCTTCTCACTGATACAGAAACTGTGTCTATTCATTTCAGTTCGATATGTTTAGGATACGTTAGAATATTCAAGCAAGAGAGAATATGATATACTTTCGTAGTTAGCTGAAGGATAAAGTCGACATGTAACACTCCGTCCGTTTCTTTTGCTTTATGTTTTTTGGCAGATATACACAACGTGGACTATAAATATGGAAACAAAATATCCATAGGATGTTTGTATTTTGCTTCCTCACGCTGGATCCATCCTGAATATCGATTTGAGCACACAATACGTAATCTCGAAGGATCTTACCTTGAAATCAGCGATAAGTATATATATAACTGCGATTTTATAGAGCACAATCGTAAGTATACACATGAGTCACCGCATGGGAGACATAACCGACCGCTATAGACGGCTACTCAATAAGTTTCTCAGTTTTGTATGGAACACACATTATTTTATGTATAAAGCCAAGTTTTCGATTTTGTCATATGTTGTCCGATTGAGATGCTTACATTCTGAAAACGAGTTTTCTCTCAAATAGGTCCTCTGAAGTCAGATAGCCAATTTTTCGATTGTATGCAAATTTATAGCCTTTTTATCGCTAAGTTTTTTCACTGCGCCGTGCAAGCACACGATTCACTTTCATATGGTATTTGATGGAAGGTCTTCGCAGAAGAAGTTTCGTAAAATTCTCTCAAGCTGATCTGCAGCAGACTTATTTTCAAAATCTGTCAAGTAAAACGATAGTAGTTCCTTTAAAATTAGCGTGAACCTTTTCCTAAACATTATTCATCGAGGGATTAACACAAGAAGATGGCGAAAGTTTAGGATCTCTTATTGTGCACGGCTGTTCGTTGCTCTCGTGCAGTGACTCATATACATATTTCGTTCAACTAAAGCCTACGGTAACCAAGATACAGAGAAAAATTGTACTGTGAATTTTATCAGAAAAAATTATTTCTAGCGTAAAATGTTCTATTCGATAATTATGTGTTCCCATGTACTGATCGTACTGTGAGTCTGAAGCAGGCAGAGTCGATTACTTCTCAGTGTAATCCACTTAGTTTATACACTAGATGTTTGCAGTGCAAACTTTGGGCTGCACCATCCCAGAAATTGCAACGATAGTTATTCTGTCGGATTTTTTACTGCACCCATATTGCATACTATCGAGAAGCTGGAAACAATGATAGCCCTTGAAATAAACAACATAAGCATCTTCATTTCTTTCATCTTTCTCTGGCCCGTATTCAAATGTCGTCCATGCCCCATCTAATTGTGCGTTCTCTTCTTTGAATCCGGCAGTTTCAAATGTATCAACTTTATTTTACAGAATCATTTTAACAAGCGCTCAATAGTAACTTTACTAAGAACACCAATCTTTATTATAAACTAGTAAAATGGTTCAGAGATGAAGCAGAATTTTCTTACTAACTTCAGATTTTCTTATGTAAACCTGAGTATAACTATATTCAGTCATACTGAGACGTAAAACAACTCCAGATTTTCCAGACTCCAATACGTTCTTGGCGCACAGAGAATGCTAACTAAATACAAATTTTCTCGAGCTCTCAGCACATGATAATAGATATAACGATATTTTGGTGTTTTCCCTGGTGAATTACGGGCAATAAGTGACAAGTACTACCTTTGTTCATAGAGTGAATCAGAGTACAAATTGTACTGGTATTGCCGCAACCCTCAACATTATTCGGTTGCTTGTCGCTCTGAGGATTTTATTATCTCACACTAATATTATGTGCACGTAGATCGGTGTGGTTTTTATACAGAAGTAGTACGATGTTCGAGAAAAGGAAATAAATTAAGGCGAAGCGCCGATAGTCTGTTCTTCTCGTTTTCGGTAGAAATCGTCAGAAGAAGAAGCTCTATTGTGTAATCATTTTTCATGACGCAGTAAAGTTTTGCTAAATTTCTTCTGTTACATCTTTCCTTCTCTATACAAAAACGTATTTTCCCATGATTTACTATTCAAGAGCTGTTGGTAGTCATCCTTAACACTTCTTTCTAGCGTATTAAGGTATTCCCATCGAATGATATTGGATTTATAAGAAATAGCGCTCAAAGGTTAGTGAACATCACTGTGAAGAATACAAAATTTCTCTTGGTTTGTACATGAAGACAGTGCTTCGTAAAAAATTAAGTTATTATACCTTCCCAGTTAATCCCATGGATCCAACATCTTCCTTCACGTTGTCTCCGCATATATACACTTGGGCCAGTGTTTCAAGCGTATTGTTTTATAAAGAACTTCTTAAAATAACACTCACAAATTAGATTCTAACAAGATATTGACCCTTTTGACTTGGTAGTGATAGGTTTTTAGTTGCGACACTGAGTAGCACAAAATTTAATGCGTATTTTGTGTAATTATAACACATGTGTCCGTCTTCGACAAAGACAGATTCTCATGTTTGTTTGACACGCGACTGAAGATTTAATAAAAGAGGAATGTGTCGAAGTGTAACCAGAGAAATTATTTACATATACCAAGATGTTGTTCTATGCTAAACGGATGAAGTTACTTGAATTTCAATCCAAGGATTTTTTTGCCCATACTTTTGAATCTAATTTATTGTGAAATGTAACGAATGAGTTATCATGTATCAGTTGCATAGTGCTGGATGGTATGGGAATTTTCAATATTTATACCGCTGAGCACCACGTCGTAGTGTTCAGCAGAGTGCCGTTTTGGAAATTCACACTGCTCAGCATTACGCAGCCGATAGATAATAGCTAATATATACGGGTGTTTCCACAAGAGATCTCTAGCCCTTCCGGAAAATTTTTCGGAATTTAATGAAACTTTCAACGTTTGTTAGGTTCTCAGTGATGATCATTTTGGTAGTAAATAGTTGCGATTTTACTTTTGTCCTCCCTGTTATATAGTAAAAAATACTGGCAACATTTTTCGGACTTATTTTACCCTCAAATTGATTTTTCTCTATGAGAACCGAATCAAATCTAATAACTAATATGATATTTCTGAATCCTCGTGAAAATCTGCATCAGTAGCGTCTGAACTTTGGAAAAGCGCTTGGTTCTCTAGAGGATTCAGAGGAGAATTCAGGATTTTCATCAAAAGTGGAATGAACGAAAAATTCTGCAACGGCAGTTTAGTAGGGCTGGTCATGCCTTTTAATGTGTACTAGCCTGTTGTTTTCCCGACTTTAACCTCGAGGAAAGCAAACAGTCCAAGTATGATAAATTGGTTTTTCGTAAAAAATTTTCATCTACACTATCTCTAAAATGCAATTCCGTCATCTTGAAACCACCTGCAGTCCCATCGTTATCATCCGTAGCTCATAAAGTAAAATATTTCGATTGTTTTTCACCTGAAAAGGTTTCATCGCCAAAGTTACTACCATCCAGAGGTTTACAAATCCTAAAAGTTTCATCAAAATCGGACGAGATCACCGTATAGACCTGGATATTCCTGGTGGATACATCCATATGTATAAAGAAGAAAGTTTGATTGTCTACCTATTCGCTATGCAATCCGTTCAGGTAATATCTATGGTCACCAAGCTTTCTACGGTGATTCCGTAGGTTCATAGTAATATCAGCATGAAGTAAGTTCCTCAGATGGAGATTGGGTGGAATTATCTCGATAAAATTTCATTTAAGCCATAGGATAGTGAGATTTTTCTTAATGGTTGGAAAAATAAGTGAATTTACCACGAGTCTAACATTTATCATTCATACTAATAGCTTTCCTACCTAAATATGCTGAAGGCTATTCACACGATCAGAAGACTGAAGACAGGCATTTGGGTGAAATTTCACTTACGTAATTTTTTGTCACTTGTGAGTGGGTGAGGGTGAGGGTGCGATCTTGAGGATAAAACCCGATTAAAACGTTCCATCATTTGCAGCGGGCATCCTCGCTAGTTAGTTATATTTAAGAATAAATTAGATCCAAAAGTTTGGGCCGAAACTCCGTCCTCCTGAAGCATGTCTGTTAAAAGCGATGCATAAAGTATGAAGGTAACATAGGGTTCCTCTGGATATGATTCAAGTCTATTACTAGTGACACGAATGTAAAGTTGAAGTTTGTGTCTATTGATTCTATCTGAGTAGAACAGAGTAACGTGGCAGATCCATATAGATTGACTTCAGTGTTACAAACTTAACTGTGGGAATTAAAAAATTGTTGTCGAATCGCATTTCACTTGTTATACGTATTAAGTAATCCTCTCAAAAATCGTCGGCGGATGTAAAATGTAGGTGAACTAGAGAAGGAATATTTGAGCTCGCATCTTACAATGGAAGTGTGTAAGATGATAAGTGAAAAGATGGCACATATCTGAGTCGAATGAAAGTTCTTAGTACCAGGCTAGCGAGGCTAAAATGTTAGCTGCTCATGTTGTTTCTAGAGAGGCATTCGATATTTACCATCCTTACAGTATATATATATATATATATATATATATATATATATGATGTTCATGATGATCAGGTAGAGCTTGTTGATTGGCGTAATCAAACCAATTGAGAAGGATTCGTAGTTGCCAAATAGGTTCGAAGCGCGGCAGCATGCCGAGAAAAGTTTCGTCAATATATAGAGCTGTAGTATACTGCACAATGGTTTTCTATGAATGCAGTAAGGCGTTATATTTTGTAACGAAGCCTTTTCTCGACATGTTGCCATGCTTCTAAGCTATTTAGGAACTACGAAGTCTTCTCGGTTGCTCTGGTCACGCAACCCAACAAGCTCTACCCGATCGTCATGAACAAAGAAAAATAAACTCCACCGAATATTTTCATTTATGAACATTATACATATACTGCACGTGAAGTGAAAACCAAATGTCTACGTTTATTCATAAATCGTAAGTAAAGATGAACCTGAATGAATACCTTTTTAAGCTAATGGAAATAATTCATTAGACAGGTGATAAGAGAAAGTTCGGGGTAAATCAACACGTATGAATTACTTTTATTTAATTTGAATACTGGCGCTCGCAATCGTTTTTTAATGTAACAACATAGCTTTAGTGGTGCATTTCGTCTAAGAATTTAACATAGAATTTCTTTTTCAAAAAATTTTGCGTAACAAATGTTCTCACACAACTTTCACTGAAGATGTCCGTATACGAGTGTTCGTAACTGTTTTTCTATTAGAAATTAGGAAAAAGGACTTTTGACAAACATCCATAGTGCGATCTTCTTTTCGTTAATGACACTAGTTCTTTCACAAATATATTGTGTGAAGATGTTTACTCACAGTAAACTTATGGAGCTAAATGACTTTAGTCTGAATCAGGAAGAATATTGTATTTCAAATATATTAGGTAGAAAATGCAGTGTTTATACTAAAATACGTCATGCGTCATCACAGACTTTTTGATTCTCACTCTCAGCAGAGATAATACGACTCGATTTGGTTCTGTTTTTTCCTAAGTTATTGCAATTTATATTAGTATACAGATATGCAAAGCGAAAGTGACGAATCAGCAGATAGCATACATAGAAAAACTGCTCACAAGCTTGCCCTGGAGTCGTGAACGATATTGTTTTTCAATATTCGTCTGAAAAATATAAAGAAAAAGTTCTCAAATTAACTTAACAGAATCGAGATGAAGTATTTTGACCTTTTTCGAGCAATTCGGTTTATCTTCTGCTGTTTTTGACTTTCACACATATATCTTAATAATTTTTGTGTTCGCTTTTACACGCCATATGCTGGACTGGTCTAAGCATTCAATTGCTTTTGAAATCGGACAGCGAAGTGAAAAAGCTAGTTATCTTTCTTATCTGATAGTCGAACATTCAGTTTTTGAAAGCATTCACATGCAACTCCGACATATATGTGGACGCAATTGCTGTCAGTGATCTAGAAGAAAATAATCAAGGTCAGACAAAGATTATATACGTCAAATATCGATAACTAAATTCGGCACTCTCCCAGCTCGGTTCTGTTCAGTCAAAATTTCGAGAAATCCGAACCGTATCCGTCTCTGACTTTCAATTCACGTGTTCAGCGTAAAACTAGCACGGCGAAACGATGTGTTAGCTAATTTAGAATTTAATTCTGTATCGAATCGTGATACTTTTATTCATGAGGTGAACTTTGCAAAAATCCTATTTAGAGTTTTGTCTTCGGTATAGGAAAACAATTAAGATGTTGGTAAAAGTTTTCTAAAGCTTACTCCATGAATAAAAGTATCACCATTCGATGTAGAATTAAATTCTGAGTCGAATGGACTAGTTCTCATGAACGGCAGTTATTTAGTAGAAAAGGTTTTAGCTATCACATTGTTTTACCGTGCTAGCTTCACGTTGATATTCACATGACGTTCCACTCATGTATAACAAAAGTTACTAAATCCTTTCAAACATGCCACAAGATCTATGAATGATCGAATTCAGTTATTGTCGTATATGTAATAATAGAAAGCTGAAGTCAACTATTCAAGTGTAATAAATGGAAAGGACCGCAAGTTGTTGAAAGCGCTATGTATTAAAGCATAAAATAATTGAATTCTTCTGTCAATTTTCGTACTACTGATGGTTATAGAGTTTTCCAAGAATTTCCTAAAGCTCTTTTTCATTCTTCAACTATCACTGAAAGAAAATGTTGGTCACTTAATGTAAACCACTCCACTCCATTTTCTTGAACGAAATCACTGATTTTGGCGGCATAAATAGCTCTTGCCATTTCAGACTATACAATACCGAAAACGATCAATAATAATAATTTTATACTTCTTTCCCAAATAAAATAATATGCATAATGATTTTCCACAGTCGACTTCATCTGCTCTCCAAACCAAGACTGGCTCTTGGTCTATTTCTATGCAGTATTCTTATAAATCTCTATCAGTTTTTATATCAATCATCGAATTGTTCTTATTTATGCTCATATAAATCAATTCTGGGTAAAACTCAACTTACGTTTGACAACTCCCACAATGTGCCACACTATTCCGAATTCATTTGCCCACAAAACTTCCGAAACCTGGCTGATTGGGTTTATGGTTGGCCCGAAGACGTATTTGAAGAAAGACTAGAAATTACTACCGATAAAGGATACCATATTGGTCCATGTCTAGTATCTGGTAGTATAATTTATGTCAAAACTGATCATTTGGAGAAGTTTTTTAGCAAGGTGTATCCGTATTTGAACAATCAGTTTGTACTTATCACAGGACAAAGTGATGCATCATCACCTGGTCGATATCTATCTTATCTAGACACGCACGATTCTAAAATTATTCATTGGTTTGGTCAGAACTCCGAAATCTATGCGTCACAACATGGCAGATTTACTCCAATTCCTATTGGTAAGGTAAATGCACTGCCAACAGGCAATCTATCTTACTTTTAGGATAAAATATACGGACGTACAAAAGTATAAACAAAAACCCTTATTGTAAGACAGATCTTACTGAGATTGTAATAGTCCGTATTTATCAATCGACCTGTTCCTCGAGAAGTTACGTAATAAGAGTGGATGAGCATATGTAAATTAGTGGACTTAAAAAGCCCGCGACACGTCGCCGCGTGTATTAAATAGTACAACTGATGAATAGAGAGCATCGAAAGAAAAGACATCAATAGCGTTTGTTTTGGTGCAGAATGGCCTATCAATAATATCTCGCTGTTGACAAATATTGTATTACTGAAATATATCTGTTGTGCATAAAATATACTTGTCATCGTATAGTATCTTATAATATGCGTTCTATTGCAGGAATCAATTGTTATGAAATGGGCAGAGCTCTTCAATATGTTCGTGTACAGAATTCTAGTTCTGTTTTGTCATCTCTATTCAATAGTACAGATTCAATTGAATACTACTCGTCTCCTGTTGTTTTATCACAAAACTTCACTCAGTATACTAAAACTCAACTGTTGCTGATAAATTTTCAACGTGAGACCGATCCAACTGGCATTCGTTCACGTATTTGGGAAGTATTTTGTGATCGTGCAACTAGATCTAATTTTATAAAATGCATTAATAAGTCCCAAGGAGTGGATATTTCTGTATTGCCAACTATATACGCTCGGAATCGTCAATATCCATTCTGGCTTTCTCCTCGTGGTAACGGATTAGACTGTCATCGAACGTGGGAAGCACTCTATTTAGGTGTTATTCCAATCGTATGGAATTCCTCATTGAACTCTTTGTATGTTAATTTGCCTATAATAGTCATCAATGATTATACTGAAATTACTGAAAAATTTCTGCTTACCAAGTTGAGAGAAATAGTCTTTCAAAAAAGAAATAATTGGCCCATTTATCGATATGAAAAGCTGAAATTTGGCTATTGGCGGCGTCTCATCTTGAGTAAATCCAGACATGCAATAAGAACAACAAACCGAGAAAATCAATGTTGGCGTGCTAAACGCACCAGAAATGGGCATGGCTAATAGATCATCTATTAATCATAGTTTGATGTTGCCAAACCATTCCTTATAGTGTGCATTTGATTTGTGAAATCTTCAGAAAAAAAACTTGTTTTTTGTATCAATTCTAACTCTGACTTGAAGTCGTTTTATAAAAAAAGTTGATCAACTATTGGTATGTAATCAAATAGATATATGTGTGTCTCCCCCGATGGTTCTAGCTACCAAAACGATTGTTCCACTCATTCATTAATGTTACATTGTTAACCATCCATTTTTAAGGCTAGGACGTGATTTCAGGCTGATTAAATACTGTCGGTGCATATTCTTAGATTCGTGCAGTTTAACGGTGAGTTCTAGAAGACGACTTCTTGTAACCAGAAATAATTTTCCTCCTAGGTGCTTGATGAAGTCAGCAGGCACACTAATTTTGCTTTAAATAGTTATTGGAGTTGAACTAAAACTGTTTCAAAGCTCTACTTCAAGAATCATCGTTATAGAAAGTGACAACTTTGGTTCTTCATCAAGAAAAGAAATACTCTCGCCTTTCAGCAACTGTCTTCGCGTTTTTCTCGAAGACCGACTTTTTCTTATAACTATCTCTAATTGTAGCTTTAGTCAAAAGACCTATTCTAATCCAGAGTTCTCTCCGCTTAGTCACTTAAAAGAAGATCCCTATGACGCCAACAAATTTTTTCTGATTTTTATTTTCTGAAACGGAGTATCTTGTCGAACGGTGCTTAAATTCAGAATATCAAGTCATTTGCTTGAGTTAATAAGAAGTGCAAGCAAAAATATCTTTTTTTGGTCTTTAAGACCTGTATTTTTAGAGTACACTAGGCGTTTTAACATCACTTCATGATTGGGGTGATTGCTAGGGCTCGGCAACGTCTCATTCGAAAGAAAACAGATCGGGATTTAAGTTCATCAAACATAAATGTCAAATATCTACAATATATGAGATCACCGAAGTGAAAAGCTTTTGAAAATTCGGCAATCCGTACTGCTCAAAACATTGATACTTTGCGGTATTTTTCCATTCAGCCCGATCGCCTAATGCTGTTTCTTTACCGGAAATAGATCTTGATGAAATGTCTCTTTTGGCATAAAATTATATGGATTAAAATAGTGGGGGAAGGGGGTGGCAATTGTCCTCTATCAAACTAGGCTGGGCTTTACCAGGCGGCCATTAATTCAGCTCACGAACGTCATTAAAGAGTTTTCTGATCGAAAAATTAATATCAGATTTGAAATCAGTATGAAAAACTGAGTTGGAAAGCATTTTGTGCTTGATGTATCGGCGTTAATTAGCATAATCACAACAGGGTCTTTGTTATATACAAAAACATAAGTATGTGACCGCTCGTTTCTCAATAACGCGAGCTACCAACCATCATTTTTCAATTCATTGATAACTATTATTCACGGTAATAGAAATCGGTTTTATCTTCAGCTTGAAAATAATAATTAGCTGTTATATAAATAGAACCAATCGCTGCTTAACGCTGAGACGTCGATTTTCGGACCACGGAGTCGGGTGAAAACTAGTTTAAAATTTAACTTAGAGGAAAGACAGAGTACAACCATACGTGTTTCAGAGAATTCAGGCATAGCTTTTTTTGCTATAAGAAATCGACCGTGCCTCTACTTTAGGTTTAGCGGAAGAGCGATTTCCCATTAAATCACTTCATCTTTCGTTTAAAGCAGAATATTTTGTGTTTCTTACTTATTCTCAACATCAATCATTGACAGTTCAAACCTTAACCCTTTACGATCGGATGATACCGTTTGATATAATCGTATGACTGTTTGATTTATAAGTCCTCTCTAGCGAATAACTAACATTATTCTAGTACAACGATAATTAGGAGCATATGTTTCGCAATGTATTTGCCTTTTATTAGCGATCAATATACTTCGCTTTCAGAACATAGCTCTATAAGCCCGAGTCGATGTGAAAAGAACATATACTCATAGCCGTAACTTTTCTGATTACACGTTGATATACAATGCACGAGCTTTCCATATTAAAAATTTTAACACTAAATAGGCCATCTATAGAGCGAGAATTTGCGAAAAACCCTGAGGATTATGCCCAAAAGTTCCCATAAAATGGCACTTTTTTATACCTTCAAAACACCTTAGTAGAAGAGTTTAAAACGCACAAAGTTGTTTTATATTATAGTTTAGAATTATTTCTAATGATATCACTCGAAATCTACGTTGTATATATCATCAGACAAAAACATCCAAGTAACCAATTATGGTTGAAAAGTCACACACTCTAAAAGCTACACTTTGGTGTCTGACCACTATTTTTACACGATTTTTTTCTTATGATACTATCACTCTGGCTGTTCTCATGTGACAAAATAGTAGCTCTTGTGGATACGACTTAATTCCTTCGTTCTATAGTCATTCGTGCAATCTCCCTTGGAAGAGACGTTTCGGTTTTTAAGGGCTAAGAAAATCTATTAACTTCATCTCATAGTGATTATCTAATTTCAATATGAAACAAAAAACATCAGATTGACACACGAAATATTTGTTGTTGAATAAATTCATAGAATCAAAGACATCATATGATGCACAATCATCATCGTAGCTTCTCAAAAGAGATATTTTTTAATGAAATCTTCCTATTTAAATAACGTGTAACTATTTAAACATTTTCGTTGATTTTTCTTCTATTCAGTCATATGCATCAAAAGAGAATAGGCAAATTTTTAATAAGCTGAGTATGCACCAGATATTTCATTTTTAGAATTTATCCAATATACTGAAACTTGTTAAAATAAAAATTTATTCATTCATTTAATTTGTTCTGTCGTTCATAAGAAATTATTTCTAATGAGATTGGGCTGTTTGTAGAATCTGTTATGATCTTGTTTTTTTTATATAGAAATTTTATTTGTATCTGTGAGTTTATCCAAATATTTAGAAGAAAAAGGAAAATAAATTGATGAATTATATTTGTGAAATGGATACCATCAATGACGTACTCACCTCTCTCATCCTCATATAGTTCATTAAATAGTTGTGGTAATGCATAAATAGTTACATCAATTTAAAATCGTCAGAAGATCCTTAGTTCGCACTAGATGAATCGAATAGCTATTTTAAATTATAATTTAACGTTTTGATCTCTCGAGACATTTCTTGCCACGTTTTTATTATAAAAAGAAATAATATCTTTTTTGAGAATGAATCGTCAACGGAAGCTATGAAAACTTAGTGAAATGCTCAAACTTTGCGAAACAATTTAACTTTTTTCTTTTTATTTGTGCATAGGCGTGAATATTGATCTTTCTATTACTTACACTCTCAACTTTTTTATTTATTATTTTATTTTCATTTTGTATCGAGATAAAGTTAGTTTTCGCTCAAGTATTACGAACATTTTTATTTCTCCATATGTCACGAGAGATTTTCATTCATCACATTCATTTCCTTTAAAATTCGCAAAGGGATGAAGTACACATTTGCCCGTTTTGGACATTTGATGTGCAAGAGCGTAGTTTTGAATCAAGGTTAAACTTTCGCTGGTGGGAGTAACACCGTGAATTGTACTATGATCTGTACCAACGACCAAACCACCATAAGCACCCTTTGGTGGTTGAAGCATTGTTAAATGGCTGTAAGTGAAATCACGAAAGACATAAAATTGATTCATATCATCCAGGAAGGCTAACGCGGCTGCTTGTGTTAAAATATCATTCCATCGAAAATAAAAAGTTCCTCCACTGGCATCCATATNAAGGTGTTTTACCAAACCAAAAAGCAATCGATTGGCGGGCACAATCGCTAAACCTCAGATGGTTTGGTCGTAAAAAGGTTTCGTACGAAGCCATTCCTGGAAAAAATCTAAAGGTTCCGTAGAAAAGGTTTCGCACGAACTCTTTCCCAAAAATATTTTCAAAAGGTTTTTCTGAGGGTTTCCATATGCAATACCTCTGGAGAATTTCCCACCATTGACGCCCTTGGTGAGTGCGTAATCCTTTTCCATGAGAATCTTTATCTGTCTGATCCTTGACGACCTAGAAGGTCTATACATAGATGAAATTGTTTTGAGTTGTATTCATGCATGTCATATATGATATACACAAGGAACTGGAAAGTTACAAATGTTTCGAACTGCTTCAATTCACTTCTCACACTTACTTTTACTCAAGTAGCGCCTAGAAACATTTATAACTTTCCACTTCCTTGTGTATATCATATATGGCATGCATGAATACAACTCAAAACAATTTCATCTATGTATAAACCTTCTAGGTCGTCGAGGATCAGATGTCTGACGGTGTAAATATGACTTTCACAGAAAGAACTAGCGAAATACCCTACTGTGCTGGCGTCTTATCGTACTGGGCAGGATCAGACAGATAAAGACTCTCATGGAAAAGGACTACTCACTCACAAGAACGCCTTACCTACGCCGCGCACAGAATTGCCTATACTACTCACAGCTGAACATAGACTCACTCAAACAGCTATGTAAAATGAAAATTCCTACCTTTCTCTCGTCCGCTTGATCGCGCTTCTCCATCAATAACAGACCGCTGGCGACCTGAAGTAATTCTAAAGCACAAACACAGGTATTCGCTGACAAGAAGTAGTTATAATTCATTCGCGCATTCCGCCCAACATATAACCTAAACAGCGAAGAATAATATATGGGAAGAAATAAGTGTATACTTATCTATCTAATTGACCTCCATGTAGCCAAGTCATTTGAATGATTAGCCGGACAGTACACGCCATAACAGGACCATATATCAGCCTAAAACACAAAAGACTGACCACTCAAACTCGATGGTTCGGAAGGTATCGGGCGAAACCCCTCAGGCCTCCGTTTAGAAATTAATGGATCAGGAGCTCTAGCACGGAACTCTTGATGGTTTCGTGAGATGAGGAGTGGTTTTGTAGGTCTGGTACGGAGCCATTTATGGCTTCGGAAAGGGATGAATGGCTACGGAGGTGTACGGCGGAACCGTGATGGTTCGGTAATATGATAAACTGTTCGGGAAGTGTAGCGCGGAACCCTTCATGGTTTCGGAAAATGAGGTATGGTTCTGGAGGCCTGGTACGGAACTCAGGAAGGTTCGGCATCTGAAATGCGAAACCTCAGTCACCCTAGCGATTAGGGGTGGCACTTTATCTTTATTTTGCTGAGTAAAGTAAAGTGATTAATCCTATCTTTACTTCACCCGATAAAGTAAAGTATCCTTTTTACTTTACTTTACTTTACTTTTTTAAAGTAAAATAAAGTTAAAGTGGCACCCGTACTCGTGATGTACATAAAGGCTCGGCATCTCTAATACGAAATCTTACATGGTTTCGTAAGTCTATTTCGAAACCTTTATGTGCTCTACGAAGCTATGACAGGTTTTGTAGCGGACATACGAAACCAAAAAAGTTCAGTATACACGCTGCTGAACCTTTCAATGGTTTGGCAACAACAGCACGAAACCTTTTTGGTCCTCAAAACCTAAAAAAAGTTCTTTATTTACGCTACGGAACTATTTTGGTGGCGCCAAACTTAAAATAGTTTGGTGGGCCATCACTAAACCGGAATGGCTTGGTGGACTACCTTTTTTTTTCAGTGTAATTCGACTTATAATATAAGTGACCAATTCCTAGCACACTTAGGAATAGAAATAGATTTAGTTTTACTTATACATACATACCCTCACACCCACGGCGACACCCTCAATCGAGACAGATATAAGTGAGGGTGTGGGTGTGTATATGTATCAGTCAAACTAAATCTATTTCTATTCCTATCTACTGATTTGTTGTAAGTGTGATATAGATATCTATTTATATTCAAATTCATACTAGCCTGTCGGGGGTCGACTTATAAGATAAGTCGAATTAGGCATCTCATGTTTTTTATATACATTATTAGCAAAATAAATTTAGAAAATAATTGATAGGAGTCGTGGCACGATATTTCAGCAGACGACAAATGTACTCAATTTTTTTACAAATATTTTCTGATGGAATGGATGCAAGAGCAACGAAATTCGTTCATTGTTCTACGATTAACATCATTATTATCATATGAAATAAACTTTTGGTTCGTAATAGTTACTTGAAAGTTTTAGATTCTGATGGGATATTATCATCTCTTCTTATACTGTTAATACCCATGTTTGTGATTGCGCACAATTGCGGTAAAAAAATCGCAGTTGCGCCGCAATCACGACGCAATAATCGCATTTGTCTCTGGCACCATTTCCAACCATTATTTCATTGAAAACTGATAATGAGACTTGATAAAATAGTAGTAAGTATTTAGTTCTTTTGGTTTATTAAACAATTAGAAAAGAACATATATTTTACAAAAAAAAACTACCTTTAACGAACAAGATACTGTACAAAATTGAACGAAAATCTATGAGGATGTAATTCTTTTCAATAAGCACTATCAGTCACCTTTATATATGACTATCCAACGACACCCATAATCGTATTACATAGGTATAACCTGTTAACGACACTACCCATCCTTTCATCTAAGTATAAACCATCGGTAATACCAGCGTATGACTCATCGCACAGATCACTCGTATAAGTGTTGAGTACTACCTACGTTTTCAAAATGACAGTCAAAATATCAAGTGACTTTGAAGTTGATAGTTGAGAGTATGAGCTTAAATGATGATTGTACCGCCTTTTATATCCTATAACAAAGGATGATCGTTTTTATTCCAAAGTATCCAATGAATAAGTAAGGAAAATGCGATGACCACGTCGCAAC